GGGCTCAAGGATAGCAGGGATTGTGGGGCTGGCGCGGGATCGGGCAGTGTTTCGTTCTGCTGTGCATGGGGTCGCTATGAGTCGGAAATGACTCGACGGCACTTAACAACAACAACAACAACAACACTTTCCATTAGCTCTTATACTTAATGTACAGTTGCATTTATTTCCCATTGGAAAGCATTATTTTGTCCATAATCTTTTCAAATACTCTTTCATAGCATTCCTTCCATTCTTACTCTGAAACTGCCACTAGACCTGTTAGAATCCTTCAGTCTCCATGACCCTTAACCTCTCTTGCGGTGTAATTTACATCTAGTGAAACAAGTCCACTTTGATTAGTTGTGACAGAGGCGTACCCAACCCACTGCCACCGAGTCAGTTCCACCTCGTACGGAACCCCGTAGGACAGAGTAGAACTGCCCCGGAGGGTTTCTGGAGCTGTCCTCTTTCTGGAAACAGACTGCCTTATCTCTCCCACAGATGGGCTGGTGGGTTCAAACTGCCGACCTTTTGGTTAGCAGCCTAATGTTTTAATCATTGTGCCACTGGAGCACCTTCACAGATGCATATACACGTGTCATTCACAGTTTCAACATATAGAACATTTCTTTATGTTCTGTATGTTCAGAAAGCTGCCTTGTGACCTTCTCAGCTGGCACCTTGTCTTCCCCAAAGCCACCCTGGACTTCTGTCACCACGGATTAGTTTTTCCTATTCTAGAACTTCACATAAATGGAGTATTAGCTGGGTATTCTCGAGGTTTTGGCTTTCTTCACTTGGCTGACTGTTTGTGAGGTTCATCCGTGGTATTAACCGTATCAGGAGTGCTTCTTCGTGTTGCCGTGTGGTCTTCCTTGGAGGCTAGGGCTGTTCAGTGGGAAGATTTTGCCTTCCGTGAGTCAGGTAGCGTGCACTCCTTTACTTGTACCGAGAGCTTATGTTTACATGTAACCAGCTCTCACTTTGGACTAGCGTTATTTCAGGTGCAGAGAGTGCAGCTATAGGCTGTGTACCTGAGAGAATTGTTGGGTTGTAATGTCGCCAGTGTGACTGCAGTGTTACTGAGTGCTGCAGAATTGCTCTTCAGAGTGAGTGTCCTAATTTAACTCCCAACAGAAACGGATGGAAGTTCTCACTTCTCCATAATCTTGCTGACAATTTAGGATTGGAAGACGTTACAATTTTTAGAAATTGGATAGGTGTGAAATATCTCATTTTTGTTTTAATGTGTTTTTCCCTGCTTACTAGTAAGTTTAAGCCTCTCATCATATGTTAATTCTCCATTAAGGTCTCCTCTTCTGTGCATTACTTATTCCAGTTCTTTTTATATTTGGGTGGTTTGTCACTTTTTTATTGGTTTTCTGTATATTCTTGATGTATGCGTTGCAGATGCACATACGTGTTGCAGATACATGTTCTTTCCTTTGTGGCTTACCTTCTTTGTGGAAGCCCCCTCCCCCAAGTAGTCTGTTTTATTAATCTTCTAATTTTTTAATGCCCCCCCTTTTTGGTGATTTCTTAGATCTTTCCCTACCTCAAAGACATAAATACAATTTTTTTCCTTCTTTAGTTTCATCTAAGAATTACCTTTCACATATTTAAGCCTTTATCTATAACTTAAAAACAAATATATTGTGCTAAAATATGTATAACAAGCAGTTGACCATTTTAACCATTTTGAAGTGTACAGTTCAGTGACGCTAATTACATTCAGTATGCTGGGCAGCCATCCCCATGATCCATTGCCACAAGGTTTCCATTACCCCAAACAGAAACTCGGGACACTGGGAGCAGTAACTACCCGTTCACCCCACCCCCAGTCCCTGGTAACCAGTAGTGAACTTTGGTATCTGTGCATTTTCCTATTCGGGATATTTCATGTAAATGGCATCATGCAATTTGGTCCCTTTGTATCTTGATTTCTTTCTCTCGGCTTAAGATTTTCGTGGTTTCTCTGTGTCTTAGCATGTCTCGGAACTGTTTCTCTTGATGACGGAATAGTACTGCATTGTATGTGTACCTATTTTGCTCAGCCATTTCTCTGTTGATGGACATTTGGGTGGCTGTTGTCAGCAGCGTTGCAGGGAGCACTCGGGTACAAGTGCTTGCCTCCCCACTTTCAGTTTCTTAGTGTGTGCCTGGGAGTAGAATGGCTGGGACTTTTGTCTTGTTTCAGTTATTTATTTATTTTTGGTTTATTGAGATGTAATTTACGTAAAGTGCATCCATTTCCGTGTACAGTTCAGTGAGTTTTGACAGATTTATGCATTTTGGTGACTACTAGCACAAGATACAGCATGTGCTGTCACCCTCTAAGAATGCTTTTCGTGCCATTTCTAATCTCCCTCGCCGGAGCGCAGTTTCTCTTCCTCACATGGCAGTTTCCCTTCCCCTCATCGGCATGTGGTTTCCATTACCCCCATATGGGTCCATTTGCCGAGCCCTTCTCTGTTTCTCAGCCTTGGAATCCAGTTGTTGTGCAGCTTAGCCCCTTATTTAAACGTTTGTGTTTCTTTCTTCCACTTCTGGTCCATGGAGATGGGAATAGCTTGGTTTCTGCTCCACTATGTCTTTTTAGGGCCCTGGTGACCCAGTGGTTAAAGTGCTGAGCTGCTAACTGAAAGGTTGGCAGTTTGAACCCACCAGTCGCTTTGTGGGAGAATGATGTGGCAGTCTGCTTCCATAAACATTGAACAAAAACAATCAAACCCGCTGCCATCGAGTCAGTCCTGACTCATAGCAACCCGCATGGCGTTTCTAAGGCAGTAAATCTTTACGGATGTAGCTTGCCTCCTCGTCCTTCCATGGAGTGGCTGGTGGGTTTGAACTGCCAACCTTCTGATTAGCAGTCAAATGCCTTAGGCACTATGCCACCAGAGCTGCTAAAGATTACAACTTGGAAACTATGGGGCAGTTCTACTCTGTTCTGCAGTGTCGCTGTGCGTTGGAATCAACTTAACAGCAGTGGCTTTGCTTTGGTCTGGGTGTCCTTTTTAAAAAGGAAGGGAAGGAGGGAGATTTCAGAAATACAGAAGAGTTTATACATACTACCCAAATTTAACAAATACTCATGTTTTGTCCCGTTTGCTTTTTTTTTCCGAAAAAACTTACATGTAACTCAAGCTCAGACATTAGTTCCATTTCAATTCCTCTTTCCCAGAAATAGCTTCTCTTGAAGTTGGTGAGTTCTATTCCCATGCATATTTCATTTTTTAATGTAATACTTAAATATACATGTTCAGGGTACTTTTAATTTTTATATAAATTTCTATCAGTGGAATCATACTTATTTTCACTTACCAGTGCTTTTGGCTATCTGTGTTGATAGAATGTTGTTTTAATCATATCGCTTCATTGCATGAATCTTACTTATCCATTCCTTTGATGTACAAAAAGGTCATTTCCAGTTAACAAATTCTGCTGCGTACCTTTTCCATATCTTGTGTTGTGCATGTCTCCTGGTGCACACATACACGTTTCTGTAGCAGATATGTCTAGAAATGGGATTGTTCAGTAACAGGAAATACGTGTCTTCACCTTACTAAGTATTGCCAGTTATTCTCCAAAATACCTGTTCAGGTTACTTTCTAAACTAGTCGTGTGTAAGATTTTCCGTTTCTCACAGTCTGGCTGGATTTCCTAGCCTAGTGGTTGTAGACGTTCAGTCATTTTCTGATTGCCTTTGCCTGATGACTAGGGAGGTTGGGCATCATTTCTTTTTTACTGACCTTTTGGGTTTTCTTGTTTGTGAGTTGTCCTTAGCCAATTTGTGACTGTTACACTGTTTGATTCTGGAAATAAATTCTTCACCAGTTCTTTGTCTCTTTAAATATATGTTTAGAAATATGTTTTCATTTCTGTGTGTTTTTGGTGGTTAGTTGGTTTGTGTTTCTGTGTGAGGGTGTTTTCAGCGTAAGCTTAGAATGCTTCTCTGAGCAGACGTGTGGAAAGAGTGTGATACCCCCTCATGCTAAATGCACCTTTTCTTCTTTTGCAGACCCTTTGGAGCAGTTGGTCACCATGCTTAGATACTAGCAGGCGCGCAGGTGTATGTCTGTCTTTGACAATGGCAGAGGGCGACAGTAACAAAGAGGTCATCCACTTGAACAGCTTTCACTGCCACCGAGGACAAGGTGAGTGAGTTGTTTGCTTGGCTCTTACTTTCTCCCTTTCTCCCTTTTCTCTCAGTATTTCAGTGAGATGCTTTGTGCCACTTAGAATCCTAAAATGTTTTGTTTTTAAACTTTGGAACATTGGACTTTAAAAACTTCTGTCAGCCTAGAATATGTGTCAAATGGTACTTCTGTGTGTGACACACTGCAGTTGAAGACTCATCCATGAGAAGTAGGTTGAGAAGCTGTTATTTAGCACAAAAGAGCTACACGGGCGCCGTCACTGGACTGTGCGACGTGGGGTTATGGGAACAGGGGCAGTTCTCTGATTTTGAGAGAATGGTGGCTGCAGAGGTCCCCCAGGCACGCGTGACCTAAAAATACTGCAGGTGCTGCTGAGGCATTATTGATCATTTCTTTTTTGCTGGAAGATTCCGGTTAAGCCTCATGAGAAATTTTAGGAAATTTGTTCTTTTTACACATGTTTATGGTTTTACAGTTTTATAGTTATAGTTTTATAGCTAAATTTTAGGGAAATTTATTGATTCATAAAAGAAAGGGCCATTTTAAATGTATATGAAATTTCCTGTCTACTCCTAATTCCTATTTAAACTTGAACTGAAGGAAAAATAAGATGATTCGTAGGGAAGAATCCTTAATATATTCATATTTTGCAAGTAAAAGGTTGTACTAGTTTTGTTTTTTCCCAAAGTATTTTGTGCTTTACGGAGATGATTTCTTTTCCAACAGAGGGCAAATTGTATTTGGCTTTCAGTGCATTTTAAATTTAGCACATTTTATTAAATAAATCGAGCAAAATAAATAAAATTGCTCAACCTGTGCAAATAATGAGTAGAAAACAATGATTTTTAGAATTTTAACAATAGCATGTCATAAATTGATAATGATCGTGGCTGTAATTTTTTGTGATTCAGAAAGTTTTAAATCTTATTTATAACCTGTATATATGATTATTTCCAAATTTTCTAAATGTATATCAAATTAACATTTTTTTTTTTTTCTTAAAAAATTGAGTCTTAAACAATGTTTCTTTGAGAACAGCCAGTTTCTTTTGTCAAATTATTGACTCTGAAGGTGTATCTTCTCTTAGACTAGTTACCTGTACTTTGCATCCATGGCAATGAATTTTTTCAGGTTGTCCTAGAGCAAAGTGGCAGAGTCTGGTTAAAATTAAAAGTAAAGAAAGTTTTTTTTTTTATGGAGGAGGAAGGTAATTTGCATATTGAGAACCACGAATTCCAGAGGATTTTGAACTAAGTGATCCAAAGAGGAGACAATACACAGTGTACGTAAGAAGACAAAAGGAAATTCAGTGAAAATTCAGTGACTGATTGACATTTAGGTAATGGTTTACAGAATTGGGTGCTAGCACATCTCTGATTGATAGGACATTTCTTTTTTACTTTTTTTTTTTTTTTTAATTAGGATTTGGGTGAAGATTTACAGAGTAAATTCACTTTTCATACAGCAGTTCACATATACTTTGTCTCATGTCATTGACCAAAATTTACAATGCAGCAGCTCCCCTCCCACTTCCTCCCCATAGTTACCTCCTCCCAGTGTCCATCCCTTCATACTCTTCTGCACCCTGAGCTATCTCCCTGTGCATAAGCAGTCCTTCCTTCTCCCATGATTGTTCTCTCCAGGGCGTGTGTCTACTTGAGGTAAATGTTTAACTCACATGCCTGTACTTTGTTTGGCTGGAAACCACAGTTGTGGGTTCAATTCCAGACCTGAAGGGCAGCCTAGGGGCCATAGTCTCAGTGGTTACACCAGGCTCCATTGGACCAGCAAACCTGGTCCCCACCTTCTTTTTTTTTTTTTTTTTGCCTTGATAGGACATTTCTTATGTTTTCAAAGTTGTACTGTTTTAAGTTACAAAGTACTCATTAAATTGGGTACACCTGGCCTGGAAACAGTCAGGAAACCCTCCTGTGTGACTGCAGGGAGGACATGTGTAATTCTTAATTTCTTTTTGCTTAAACATGATTTCTGAGAATTGTTTTGGACTTTGCTTGTTAAGCATCAAACAAAACTCTTAAGTAAGTAAGATTTATGTTGTTTTTTAAAATTGTTTACCAAATAATTTTCTCTGAATACAATGGAGAGATACAGGAATGACAGGCTATGTTCCTGGTGCGTAGTTTACTTTTGAGTCAAAATAGAGTTTTAACCTCAGACCTTAGTATAGCCACCATCTTATGCTGGGAATCCTAAATTAACCTGGAGTATCCTGACTCAAAGCATAGAAAGTTGTTTAGTTTTTGTTAGCTGTGTTAATAATTTTTATTAAGCAACCCCCATAGTTTCTTTTCTTTTCCCATCATTTTTATTAAGCTGTATTTACATGTAACAAAATACACGTAATTTAAGTGTATAGTTCAATGACTTTTGACACCATAGAACCACTACTTTAGTCAAGATACAGATTTCCTTGTGCCCTTTGCAGTTAGTCCTCACCACCACTGCCCCGGCCTGAGGGTCGTCATAGAATTGCATAGGGAACCATAACGTATGTACTCTTTTGTGCCTGAATTCTTTTGCTCGGTCTGATTTTTCTGAGACTCATCCTTGTTGTTGCTGTATCAGTAATTAATTAATTTTTAGTTGCTGAGTGCTACTCCACCTTTCTACCTGGAATTCTATACCCAGTGAAAAATTTCAAAAATGAAGGTAAAATCAAGAAAGGTTGAAAGTATAGGGATTAGAAAGACACATCATGTAAATAATAAAACAAAAAAAAGCGCTGGTGTGTCTGTGTACTATCAGATTAAATAGACATCCCAGCCGGAAGTATTACAAGAGATTTCATAATAATGAAAATGTCGATGCACTGGGAAGATACAATATTCTAAATCTCTGTGTACCTAGTAACATGAGAAAATACACAAAGCCAGAACTGACACAACTGAAAGGAGAAGTGGACAAATCCACAGTCATGGTGGGAGAGTGTAACACGTTTCTCTCAGTGACTGAAAGGAGAAGGACATGCAGACATTTATATGGACATGAAAAATTAGAAGGTGGCCAACGAACCTGACATAAAAATATCCATGGAATACTGCGCCCCGTGTGCTTGTTAAAATTGACCATATTTTGAACCAGAAAATAAGTTCCAGGTTTTAGGAGATTGAAATCAGTATGTTCCTCTCTTGGCGTAGCCAAGTGTGTAGTCTCTCTGACTCATTATCTGTTTAGAATGAATGTCCAGGAGGTAGGACTTCCACAGTGGCTGAGTGAGGAGCTTGACCAGTCCCCTCCCTGAAAATCATTGATAAAACTAGACAGAACTGTCAAAAACAACAAAAAATTGGCCAAAGGCATGCAAGAATTGAGAAGCATTTATTCAAGAAAATCTGAATCTGGGTGAGAACAGTCAAAGTATGTGATAATTTAGCCTGAAGCCCCTCCCTTTCCCTCCTCAGCTTTGCCCACCCAGGTCCTTCTAACATGTATGGTGGGAAAGTTCTGCCTGGGTGAGTCGAGGCAGTCCCAGAAGACTGATAGTATAAGGGGCTGGCCTGGTTTGGGCCAGTTGTGGGAAATCCATGGCCAGGAGCCATGTCAAGAATAATGCCAACCTTGATGATGATCACAGAAGGCCAACATTCAGCTGGAACGAGGTTTTGATGCTGGTTAGGGCAAGCAGTAGACCATCCCAGAATTTCAGAGGGAGCTCCAGGAAATTAGATAGCCCAAGGGCACCTTGATAAGCGTCCAGGTATCCTTGCTCATTTGCATACACCAGGCAATACCCATGTGCAGGACAAACCTAGGAGCACCCAGCAAATGCTCATCTCTAGCAGAACAAGAGGCTTTGCTGAGGCAGCAAGTAAAAGCCAGGAGGACAGACTCGGAAGGTGACCTTTGAATGCTTTCTTCAAGCCACACAGATGAATTGGCAAAGGATGGAAGCGTTACTGGCTCAGTGTGTGTAAGTATGTCTGATCAGTCGTTGACTGGCTACCAAGCTTGTGCTGACCCAGGAGTGACTCCTAGGAGTCCGGACTTCAAAGTGAAAACAGGAATTAAAAAAAAAAAATTGAGCAAGCTTGCCGATAGCCAACACCAGCTCTGCAGAATGAGCCCACATAAATGACTGAACAAAGAAACAAAAGCAACGCTAACCGCTGCTCCTGAGGAGAGGGTATCAGGATCCAGAGTTTTCACAGTATATTATCATGAATGTCCAGTTTTCAACCACAAAATAACCATACAAAGAAATAGGAAAATACAACGCATGGGGGAGCTCCCAGTAGAAATTGTCTCTGCGGGACCTAGATGTTGAAGTGAAAATAGACAGAGGAGGGTTCACAGCACTTCTTGTAAGTATGTTCAAAGAACTAAATCAAAACCCAACCCATCAAATTCATTCTGACTCATGGCAGCCCCACATGTCACAGAATAGACTGCTCCGTCGGGTTTTCTTGACTGTAATCTTCACTGGGGCAGAGTGGCAGGCTTTACTTCCACGGTCCCACCTGGTAGGTTCAAACTGTCGACATTTAGGTTAGTCGTTGAGTTTAAACTGTTTCTCCCCCAAAGAGCGCAGAGAACTAAAGGAAGCCATGTTAAAGAATGAACAGTATGACGGTGACTCACCAGATAGAGAATATCAATAAAGAGACAGAAAATATAAAAAAAGAACCAAATGGAGATTCTAACATTGAAAAGTACAATAATCGAAAGGAAAGATTTGGTAATGAGACTCAACAGCAGATGTGAGAAGAATCAGTGAACTTGAAGATGAGTCAGTAGACATTGTCCTGTCTTGTAGAACACAGAAAAAAGAATGGAGGGGCGGGAACTGAGTGTGCCGACCTGTAGTAGTATTCACAGAAGGACAGTAAAGAAAGAAGGGGACAGAAAAAATATTTGAAGAAACGATGGCTGAAAACTTCCCAAATCTGATGAAAAAGGTTAGTATACAAGTCTAAGAAATTTCAGCAGACTCCAAGAAGGAGAAATACAAAGGGATACACACCTAGACACACCCTGCTCAGCTGTCACCTGGCTGTGTGGAGTAGAAGAAATACCAGAATTTGTCACTCATTATACAGACTTAGAAACACACCTCATCTCTGCCTTTGCAAGTACCATATGTCACCAATTTCTGAGCTTTCCTGGGATTCTGCAGCAAAAAAGGAGCTTGTGGGAGACTGTCCCCTTTGCAGTCTGTAGGTTTCAGCCTTCTCCACTCTGTTGAACCACTTGCCACCTGTCATGCTGTTTTCCAGAGTTTTGTTAAAATCTTTTACTTGCTGTTATTGCCATTCCTATTATTTTGTGCTTGCCAGTTTATACTTAAAAAAAAAAAAAAACACCTCCTTTTCTGTGGTTTTAGTGAAGCTTCATGAGTGAGTAGTGTTGATAATTGCTTGGACTCACTCTGCCAGCTTTACCTGCAGTCCTTTATGATGTGCTCAGGGCCCACGTTCAGTTCCTGTTGCATGTACTGCTTTTCTGTGAAGTGTAGTTGTGTTGTAGTGAAAAGAGCATGGAACTCGCAATCAGTGTGTCAAGCATTGTAATAAGTGGACTTTTCATGTGGGCTGTCTCAACTGTTAACCCTTTTTACTGTTGAGGCAGTGAGTGCTTAAAGAAGTTAAGTGATACATGCTGTTGGGAGGTGATGGAGCTGGAATGGAACCCAGGTCGTCTGAACTAAGATCCCACAGGCTGCCACACCAACCATCACCCCAGCTTTGTTGCAAGAATAAAATGAGATAATTGGGTTTAGATTGCTTTGCAAATTGTAGTGAGCTGTCAAATGTATGAGCACTGGGGAAGAACTGTGATGAGGAACTGGAAAAGTTAGAATAATGATGCCTCTTTTTATTCTTTCTCTTCTCCTCTTTGAAATTTTTTAACTTTTCCACTAGGACTCTCAATGCATTTTCTTTTTACTTTCCATTTTAACCTTTAACATTCCCATGGATCTAGATGGGGTGTGTGTGGGGGTGGAACCTAGTCTGTGCACCCAAATTACAATAAAAAGTTACTCCCTCCCCCCAAAAAAGCTAGTCTGTGTTACCTACTAATTCATATCTAATGTGACATATCTTAGAGCAAATAAAAGGAAGTGGAGGCCTTAATCATAATTACTCCATCTGGATGGTTAATTTAACTCCAGTTATATTTAAAAGGAAAGTGGGAAAGTTAAATAGCCTACTGTCATACATGCTCAGTGGGTGGGTGTTGGGGTGAAACACTGAAATGTTTGTTTAAATGATGCTTAAGGTTTAAAATTTGCTTAAGGTGAGCAAATACCAGTATTTTAAGTATTACATGAAAATTCTGCTATTTTTGAGTAGTACTCTTTTCAGACCTGTCATCCTCCATTGCCTGGAGGAACAGAAATGGTTTGAAAGGATGTGATACCACTTCTAAGAAATTTATGGTCAAGAAGATTTTATCAACAGCATTTTCCAACATAGTATAAGAACAAGTTGATAGTCTTGAGCATAGTAATTCTCACGTTTTTTCTAGCGATTCCCAAAATACACTATTGGTAAAGACCAACATGGAAACATGGTTCTTAATGCTGAAGTGCACACGCTGCTTAAGGAGCTAGGTTGACATACCAGTAGCCATGAGCTTAACTTTAGGTTTGATACTTTGCAGGCCAGAGTTGGGTTAAGGGCTGTGGTCGTGCTGGTCTGCCAGTAATAGTGTTCTCTGCCTTCCTGCAGACTGGATCAGTCTCAGAGATGGGCCCATCACCATATCTGACTCCTCTGACGAGGAAGGGATTCCAATGCTGGTCACCCCAGTTCCTCAGCAGCATGAAGAAGAGGACCTGGATGATGTCATCCTGACAGAAGTGAGTTGGCTGCACCTTCCCATGGGGAGGCTTCATTGCGAGCTGATGATCTGATTCTCAAGCCACTCTGTGGTGGGCGCTGGGGCCTTGAGGAACAGCCGGTCTGCGTTTCTGAGGGCAGCGTGCTTTTCACCCCAAGTGAGGTCCACTTAGCTTTAGAGTGGGCCATAGAGGCCATGTGTTTTGTTCTGTTTCTGTACTGACCTTCAACACCATCACTCTGACAATTCAGGCACTGGTTGACACTTCTACAACTGTTAACAACGTTGTGATGGCTTATACTGTCAGAGAGATCTCATCTCCCCTCAGCACTCTGCATTTTGCAGAATCATCCAGGATATTTTTGCACTGATTTTTTTGTATGAATTTGATAATCAGCTTTTCTAGTTCCAAAATTAGATAGTTGATAGATGGATCAGTAGACACGAATGGGGGATTATCTAATTCAAAGCACATCTTGATCTTACTTTCATAATCTTTAAAAGTTGAACCTTTGTAACTAAGAGCAAGTTTAGTCTTGCCCTTGAGCCTAGTCCCCTTTTACATCCTTAGCTTCAGAGCACTTGGATTTTTCTTACTATAAATCTAAAACATTGTTATGTTAATTTGTGGTTATTTTTTCTGTTGCTTTTGTAAATGGCATCATTTCTTCTGTTGTACTTTTATTGCTTTATTTTGTTTGTTTTATTTAGAATTGTATTGGGTTTTATGTTACGTTCATATTCCATCACCTTATTTTTATTTTCTACAGTAGCTTTTCAGTTGACTCTCTTACATCCTTGAGATGACAGCCGGCCTGTCTTCAAACTGTAACTCAAGCTTTAATCTATGGCCACATTAGTTCTTACTATAGTTTGATCAAATTTCATTAACATAAATGTGAAAAGCAGGTTGTATTTGAAGAGGTAGTTTTTGTTTCTTTCGTATCTCAAGCTCAGTGTAATTACATAAGGAGGCATAGACGTAGGAAAGAAGTTGACCATTATTATTATTAAAATTTCATTTTTTCTTAGACAAATAAACCTCAGACACCACGACCCAATCTCATCAAACCAGCTGCCCAGTGGCAAGATCTGAAAAGATTGGGAGAAGAAAGGCCTAAACAGTCTAGAGCAGCATTTGAATCAGATAAAAACAGCTATTTTTCAATGTGTAACAACCCATTGTTTGATTCCGGGGCACAGGATGATTCTGAGGATGACTATGGAGAATTTCTGGATCTTGGGCCTCCTGGAGTCTCTGAATTCATAAAGCCAAGTGGCCAAAGAGGAAGAGAACCCCAACCTGGACCAAGTCACGGCCAAGCCTCAAATGACATCGGCGATCCCAGATCAGAGAAGAAAGTTGTCTTGGAAGACAGTAGCCTTCTTTCCTCAGAAAGCGAGCCCCTCAGCCAGTCATCGGAAGAGTCGGAAGCAGGGCCGGGAGAGTCGGCTGCAGTGGCAGGTGACCAGGCCATTGAGGAGCGCTGCTGGCTGGAGCGCCCCCACTTCCAGCCTCCAAACCAGGAGATCCGTGATGAGGGCTGCTGGCTAGAGCGCCCCTACTTCCAGCCTCCAAAGCAGGAGACCCGTGAGGAGGGCTGCTGGCTGGAGCGCCCCTACTTCCAGCCTCCAAAGCAGGAGACCCGTGAGAGGACAAGCCAGGTGGTTCGTCAGGAGCTGGGCCCCCTGTGGTATCAGCACGAACCCCCAGGGCCTGCTTTCCCAAGGCCGGAGCCCCAGCAGGATGGGATTCCAGGTCCCTCATCCCCTCAGCCTGCCCATCCTTTAGGAGAACTTGAAGACCAACAGTTAGCAATAGACGATGACCAGCCTGGGCCGGCCTTTCCACTTCAGGGATCACAGGAGCCCAACTTGGGAAACATTTGGGGCCAAGGAGCTACTGAAGTAGATCAAGAACTCATTGCACTATTAGTGAAAGAAACGGTAAGTTTAACTTGACCAGGTAAATAATTGTAGATACCAGATAATAATACTTTTATTGCGAAAATGTGTGTGTGTATATGCTTCCTGAAGATTTTCCTAGGACCTGTGGTATCTGAGAGAAACTCTGAACACACATGGAAATCGAATTGTGATTCTTTAATCTCGGCTTACACCCCAGAGTGGCTTCTGGGGCTCTAGCCACAGATTGGGGTGCCCTTGTGCTATCCTAACAGCAGTCTCCTCGGTTTCTTAAAAGGCCTTGAGTTGACTCCAGATTGTAAACGCTAAAGCCCGTATACCCGGATCATCTGGAGCCATTCTCATCCGCTAGGGCCATGCTGTCCAGTTTGGGAGCATGGGCCCCATGTGGCTCTTTCAATTTGAATGTCTTAGAATTAAATAAAATTAAAGATTTTCTTTTCAGTTACACTAGTCACATTTTAAGTGCTCAGTAGCTGCACAGGCCTGTGGCTGTTTTTGTTGTCCTTATTGTCCAGTAGGCCCCTGACTCATGGCGGCCTGTGTGTCACACAGTGAAGCTGAGCTTGGTACTGCTTTCTTGACTAAGCTTTACAGATGCAGTTTGCCAGTCTTTCTTCTGTGGCGATGTTGGGTGAATTCGAACCATCAACCTTTAGGTAAAGGCAAATTGTAACCTACTACTTGTGCCCCTGGTCGTCTTAGCTAATGGCTACCATGTTGGAAAGCTCAGAATAGAATATCGCTGTCATCGTACAAAGTTCTGTTAGTGGTGCTGATGTAGAGAGTAACACTTAGTTTTACATCTTTTGGTCTTTGATTAAGTCTGCTTCATCTAAGGCCTTTCATCTGAGCTACTAGGTTGTGTCTGCTTGAGGATGGGCACTGGATTCTACCTTGTCTTTTGTGTCCCTCTGGGCAGAAACGCTCAGTGTTGAGAGAATGGAGAATGAAGAATGGATATGCATAATGGGAACAGGGGACCAGGGATCTGTAGGGCCCGTCTAGATCACGTGGTCTCTGTGGACTGAGGAACCTGGGAACCTAGTGCTGAGTTTTAAGCCAAGCTCAGACCTGCCTTGCTTATCTTTAGTTGTTTTCTATCCTCTTGGCCTCCTGGCTTGTATTGCTGTTAGAAACCGTCTGGTGAATGAGATACCAATACTGTTCTTAATATCTTTCCAGGAAGCAAGATTTCCAGATGTAGCAAATGGGTACATTGAGGAAATAATTCATTTGAAGAAGTACTACGATTTGAATGTGTAAGTATACCAGCGTGTCTCTGTAATCAACCTGTTAGAGCAGTTCTAAATCAGTCACAGACTGTTTTCTGGACCTTGTGGAATACTGCTTGGTTATGAGATTAAGGAGTTCCACTGTTTCAAAGCACCGAGGCTACCTGTATTTTTTGTGTGTTGGTCGGATGTTAAAAGCCATTGTCTTCCCTACAGTCGGAACAGTATGTTCTGCTTATTTGGAGGAATAGATGGAAGCATTTCTTTAGTTTTTGTTATAAAAGTAACAAATATATTTTTTTTCTTTAAAATAAAAGTGTCCTGAAGAGTACACACTGCAAAATGAGTCTTTCTTTGGGCCCTTTCCCTCCTTTCTAGTCTGCACAGGTGAGATAGTTGTACATGTGTAAAGAGTGGGAGAGGACTGAAATTAATCACCTTTTCGAGTTCAGTGCAGACTTTTTTAAAATGAAGCAAAAGAGGTAGTACCTCTGTCCTCTAAGGTGACGTCCTGAGCAGCGGGACTAGCCAAGAGCCAGGTGGGAGCCCGCGTGAGCTTGCACAGCCGAGCTGACTCCAGTGGAGCGGAAACAGGGCCAGAGCCGAGTGAGCTGGCTGCGGGCTTTGCTGTAGCTGACTCAGTCATCTTAAGGTGCTGCCTCTCCGTGGCCTTTTGATGTCACCAGCTGGTTATTTTAAGCAGGAGGGACCTTTTCACTGGAGCCCTCATATGGCAGGCAGTCTGCTGTGGCTGCCTACCTGAGACTTTTCACTCACATTGTGATGCTACTTAAATTGGATCGTGGCAGGAACATCTATCTAAGGATAAAAAGGAATGCTTAGCAGGAGTGCTTTTTTCTGTTAGCCTATCAGGTCAGATCAAGCAGGAAAAAATACAAGTAGACAGGCCGTGTTTGAGTCCTGACGGGCTGGCCCACAGCCTTTGTCCTAGGGAGCAGATACTGACAAGTTGGGTTGTAGCTTGTTTCTTTAGAAGGGAAGCCTTGTCCTTAATTATCTATCCTACCAATGTCATTTAACCTCTAGGAAAGTTCTGTTGGTAAGGGTAGAGGAGATATTAAAATAGAAATGAATTTGGACATTTCCCAGTGAGGACCTCGGATTTCTGCCGGGTAGAATGCCTACTTGGCAGCATTTCAGTGAAGTTTTTTATATGGTTGAACATCTGTTGCATTGAAGATGAATTGATGAGGGATGTACCCCTGAAATATGTATGTATTTTATTCAGAAATTATCATTACTGTTGTACTTCTATAGCATATACTTTAGGAAGCACATAAAAATAGAACGCTTTAGAGGATATGATTAAGAAGTAGAAATAGAAGTTTTAATACTTTGTTCTAACACCTCAGTAGATTCCCTTCCATGCCCCCCCCCCCCCCGAGACTACAGGCTTAAGCCAGGGGTGAATGACCATTCTGCCAAAGAGCAGTCTTCTGCTGGACCTTGTTATCTTCCACCAATTCCTGGCACCTCATGGTTTGTTCGCCTTTGGTAGCCACTGTTACCAGATTGTTAGAGATACATGTGTTTGAAAGAGAAGAGCTAGTCTGGGTCTAGTTTGTAATGATGCCCAGATGTCTGTGTGTGAGGAGCTGGTTGGAATAGCAGGCTCTCCCCACAAATGCGGTCCTCGTAATTGTGGCTGACTCTCAGGTCAGCCTTCAAACAGCTGTGTAACCTACAGCAGACGGCAGCGTGTGTTGTTATGGGAGGTGCTATGGAGTTGGTTTACAACTCACCGGAACCCCATATGACAGAGTAGAGCTGCCTCAGGGTTTTCTAGGCTCTCACCTTTATGGGAGCGGATCACCAGGTCTTTGTCCTAGGGAGTGCTGGGAGTTTGAACCACCAAACTTTTCGTTAGCTGAGTGCGTATCTGTTGTGTTGCCAAGGCTCCTTATACCAGTATAGACTAGGATAGACGTCACCTTTAAAGATAGTGGTTTTAAAGGAAAGTGTTGTCAGAATTCTTGGCAGGGGTGTCTCTCCACTTGTGACAACTATTTGTATGGGAAGAGGCATCTTTCCCCACTTTGGCCCTCTGGAGAAGCCCTCGTAGTACAGGAGTTAAGTAATTGGCTGTTAGTCAAAAAGTCAGCAATTCGAACCCATGGGAGAAAGATGTGGCAGTCTACTTCTGTAAAGATTACAGCCCTGTATTCTACCCTGTGGGGCAGTTCTACTCTGTCCTGTAGGGTCACTATGTGTTGGAATCGACTTATGGCAGTGGGTTTGATTTGGGTTTATTCATAATTTTCTTGACAACTGGTAAATCCTGTTCATACAAATTCTCCAGTTCAATACAGTTTAACCAGAAGTGATTTCAGTGGCTTCATTATGTTGGCACCCGAGTAGCAGACCTCAGAGGAGCCTGCGGTCCTCGATCAGGGTCATTGCCTGTGAAACCAGCGAGCAGAAGTGGAATTTCAGTGTCGCTGGTTTCTGTGCGTCGCTTGTTTAATTTGGCGGCACTGCAAGATTGAGTTCCTTGATGGGCAGGCCGACTGACATGTGAGACTTGGGATTTTCTGTTTGAACCTTGCATTTGAATCAGTGGGCAGCTGTGGGGTTTGAAAGTAACATTTTTTGTTTTTGCAGACTTTGTAATTTTCTTCTGGAAAACCCAGATTATCCAAAGAGAGAAGACAGAGTCATTATAAACCCCAGCAGCAGCCTGCTTGCCAGTCAAGACGAGACAAAGGCAAGTGTGGTATTCTTGTTTGGCCAGCTCTGCCTGGAAATGGACTGCTCCTTCCATCATTTGTAGGGGAAGAAGGTGCCTTGTCAGGGCACAGTTTTCAAGACCAGCAGGGAAAGCAGGAGCTCAGAATATGTTTATCCTCGGGGGTAGTCCCAGTCTGAGCCGCTTTGAATCAGGATTTTGAAGCTGTTCAGTCTGGTTCAGTCATGGCCAGTGAAGCGACACCAGAACAATTATGAATTTTAAAATGTGGGTGAATTGGAACAGGAGAGTTATGGGTTCAAGTCTTGCTAGGAATTTAGCCTCCCTCCTAGAAAACAAGGGCAGCATGCACATTACGTAGCAACCAAACCTTGTGACTGGCTGAGTCGAAAGCAGTGGTGCCTGGCTCAGAGGTGCCACCATGCCTCTTTGAGTGTGTGCTGCCCTCCCCAGACCAAGCAAAATCTGGTCTCCCGCATCCGGCTCCTGAAAGGGCTCGCCACATGTCTTCCTACACTCTCATTCCAGGGCTCACCCTGGAACCAGATCACCCAGATTGGAAAAATTAGAGTCTGTTGTGGTTTCTGCTTCTCTAGCCGTGACTGAACCAGTTAAAACCGGTTTAGAACCTTGCTTTGAACTCCATGTTTAATACACATTAAATATAGATCTGTCTTTTGTTGTAACTCTGTCTTCCCTTTCTGATGAAGAATTCAACAGATTTTCCGTGTCTTTAATCCCTCAAAGCAAGTTCCTAAAAAGGAGTAAGATTTGGCCAGGATTCTTTGTATCATTTTAGAGGTCTTTTTTTAAAAAAAAAATACCTCAGTATGGAAATTTCCAAGCATACTGAAAAGTTGAAAGAATTTTGCGTTGAACACTTACATACCTATTACCGGTATGACTGAAGGTTAGTGTTTTACTGTAGCTCCTTTATCGTGTGTCTGTCCCACTGTCCATCAGTACTTCTTTTTTAATAAGATGTTTCATGTAAATTCAAGTATAAATACCATTCCCCCACATAAATATTTTACCATGCAGCTAATTGACTAGAATTCAATGTCTGATTATAGTTTTTTTTTTTTTTTTTATGTAAAATACACGCATAGTGTGTTGTTGTTGTTGTTGTTACGTGCCGTCGAGTCGGACCTGACTCATAGCGACCCCGTCCTTGGTTTGCTGAGGCGGTGTCACTACGGAAGTAGATTGCCTTATCTTCCTTCCGAGGAGTGGCTGGTGAGTTTGAACCACGAGCCTTCTGGTTAGCAGTCAAGTGTCTTCGCCACTATACGTATACCTGTGTAACCAAGTCCTATATCAAAATAAAGTTTGTTTTTTAAAAACCTTAATCATTGCCCTCATTTATGATCAGAATGAGCATTTGTGTGTTAGATGGTGAAGAAGCATTGGTTCTGACCAGCTCCTTCGGGGTCCATTGTTTGACCTGCCTGCTCCCCACAGGTTAGGGTCACTATCTCTTTCACATATTCTGTAGCAGGAAGAAAACGTTCTTTCTAAACATTTGATGCATAGGAGGTGCCTGAAGCACTGTGTTCCAGTCCCCAGACACACATTTTTACCAACTCTGAGTGCCAGGCACCATTTCCTCGTCTCTGTCACAGGCTGCACGCTGCTTACAGCGTCATTGTGGCACCACGTGTGATGGTTCTGTAGTGCGTGCTTCTGCACAGGAACCCCTGTTCTGGTCTCTCCTGTGGAACTTCTCCACCGGAACCCCTCTCTCTCCTGGAGTATGTGCTTCTCCGCAGGAACCTTGCATTAGCAATTCCCTTGGAAAACACACTACCCAGCCTCTAATTGTGTGCTTCTCTCTGGTTTCAGTTGCCTAAAGTCGACTTTTTTGACTACTCCAAGTTGGCTCCTCTTGACCAGCGCTGCTTCATCCAAGCTGCTGACCTCCTGATGGCTGACTTCAAGATGCTCAGCAGTCAGGACATCAAGTGGGCCCTGCACGAGCTCAGAGGACACTATGCAATCACCCGAAAGGTGCTCTCTGGGGGCTTCCTGTGGGTCACATCCAGAGTGCTCCTTGTGCTAACAAAAGGAAGAGTCAGTTTGCAGAGGTTGGGTGGGTGTGCAATGGCACAGAACTGAGGAGTTTGTCGGGGGGAGGAGTAGAAGTGCTTGGTGAGGAAGAGCGGCCTGAAATCAGAGCTTAGAATCAGGGATATTACGGTCTGGCCCTAGGTCTGTGGAGTGTAACCCGTTCTACAGTGGAATGCGCTGGGTGGGGGGGCTGGCCTGTGGAAGATGGGTTTTAGTCCTGCCCCTCCCCAGTTGGCTTCCTGACTTGAAGCATCAGGTCACTCAGCCATCGCCCAGGTGGCTCACCTGTCACTTGAGGTGAAGTATATAAAGAGCCCAGGGTGACCTGACAGGACAGAGTGGCTCCCAATTTTTCTCCCGTGGTCTTAACATGAGATACAGTTGAGGTCCTCGGTCCCAGGTTCAGAAGGGCACTGGGGGTTTGTGGTGATGCACCTTGCACAGTGCTGGTTTCATGGTGTAGGTACCCAGGACAGAAGAGTGGGTGCCGACTGAGTCCTTGGGCCCTCCCCTTGGTCTCTCCTCTGCTGTTAGATCCTCTTCTCCTACTCTGGTTCTTGTAATTCCCAGCATGCACTGATTTCTTTTTTCTGGAAGAGACAGACATGGAGTTACTTTAATGGTTAAAATACCCACTGGCTCTTACCTGCAGGAAGGTGAACCTCAGGTGAATGTGGCCTCATTCAAGGGTGACTGCTTCCCTGAAGATTGCCGGGAGAGCAGGGCAGCTATCCACAGACTTGAATTGTAGGTGAAATTAGTTTGAAGGGAACACAGAGCGAGTGTTCTCTTCTTCTGCATGTTAGCCTCCTGCACTGTGCACATGCTGTCATTGAAAACGAATGAGCTTCCTCAGAGGACCACGACCACGGGACAGAAAGGGCGCTACATGTCTGGGCTCTGCCAGCCTCTTCACTGTGCCAGTGGTTTCTTCCCACCTGCTCTCAGCTCTTAGGAGCCTGGATAGAAAGTACAGGGGCAGCGGGGACAGCTCCTGTGATGTGGCTGCAGCCTGTCATCCTCAGTTAGGTTCCAGCCCCGAGCTGGGCCACCACCCTGGGACCAGTGAGCAGATGCTGTTCCCCCAGAGGTTGGTCAGAACACTGCCCGCACACTCTCTGTGGGGCACGGTGTAGGGTTTTCCGGCTGTTCTGCACTTCTTCGGTAGACTCCGTTTAGTCCTGAGTGAGGCAGCTTAGTGTCGGCGGTGGTCCTGGCTTCCTGCTGTTGCTCTGCGTGATCCTGGGGACTGCTTTTTCTACTTGCAGGGCTACTTGGTTCTTTTCATTCATCCTTTCCTTGTCCCTTTCTTCAATTTTCCAGCACTTTATGTTTTTTCTGGTGTCTGGTATTGGGTAATTGAGAAGTGTATGTAGGATTCGAAGTGGGGTGGAGTTGTGCTGTTTGAATTGAAGAGGGCAGGAGGAAAACGTGATGTGCTCAGAACTGAGAACTCTGCCCTGTTCTGTGCAAACAGTGTGTAAGAACTGTTTCCTTTAGAAAGTGACTGTCATGTGGACAGGTGTGTGGTAAACATACCCAGCCAGCATTTTGAACTAGCATGGCTTCTAGATGCACCCCCGGCATGATGCTGGCTTAGGGACAGCTCTGTTGTCACTGTTCAGACACGGCTACAGCTGCGTATCCGTGTCCACACACACACGTTCTTTGTAATGGAAAGCATCAAACATACATAGAAGTAAAGATTGCATTATAATGAGCTCCATTACCCATCATTCAGCTTCAGTAATTACCAACTCTTGCCCAGTTTTGTTTCATCCAGAGCCCTCCCCAATTGATCCCCTTCCAGAATGTTTTGAAGCATATTCTGAACTTTTTTTTTTCATCCATTGGTATTTCAGTGTGTGTCTTTAAAAGGTAAGGTCTCATTTCTTTAAAAAAATAGTCAAAATATAATGGTCACACCTTAAGACTTAGCACGAGATCCTTAACATCATCAAAAAACCAGCCAGTGTCAAATTTATCTGAATGTGTGAAAAATACTTCTCTTTAATGGCTTGTGTTACTTAAATCTCATTTAATATCTAAATTCTCTCTCTTCCTTCCCCCTTTATTTGTTCTTGCAGCTTATATGTTGAAAGGGTTGTGTTTGTCTGTAGTACTTTAGACTCTGGATTGCTGGTGGCACCCCACAGTGCCATCTAACTGGTTCTTCCCTCTGTATCTAGCTGTCCATCCAGTCAGATGGAGAACCTTGCTCTAGCTTAGGTTTGATTTCTTTGGGGGGGGTTTTGGGGGCCTGGAGTTAGCTCCAGTTCTGCCGTTTGTTAGTCTTGACTTTGAGTAGTTACCTGCCTGGCTGAGCCTGTTTTCTTTCACTGTGTGTTGGCCCTCTGGAGTTAGTAGCACATAGAATTCTCATAACACAGAACCCAGCCTAGATCAGGTTTCTGTTCCCATCCCTTCTATTTGTTTCTGTTTGCTGTAGAGTAACTTTTCAGCTTTTGTGTTTAAAAATTTCTCACCGTGTGCTGCTTGATGCTGTCTGAATCAGAGTCCGTCCTTCAAGTACAGTTGCAGGCCCTCTGATGGCTCAGCCTTGGTAAGCTTGGAGCATTGAGTCTGAGCTGGAGAGGCCCAGGACCAGAGAGGCCTGCTCTCCTTTGCAGTGTCATGGGGCCCTGTGTATGTGCAGTTGTACGTATTTGTGTAGCTCAACTCTTTTTTTTTTTTTTTAAATTTGTTTTTGTTTTTGAGAATACCTCCAGGAGAACATACACCAGTTGAACAGGGTACAAGTCAGTAATTGACGTGAATACATTCTTTGAGTTGCACAACCGTTCTCCCCTCCTTTTCTGAACTGTTCCTTTCCCAGTAACTGAACTCACTTCTGCTCCCTAAGTTTCCTGTCTGTCTAGTTGCCGTTGTCATTTTGTTGCCATATAGATAGTCCTTAAAAGAGCCTGTTGCCCAGTGTAGGCATTCTTTACTGGTTCACTTAAACTATTTGGTTTACAGAAGACTTTAGAGGTATTTTGGTTTTGTTTTAAAGATACCTCAGGTTTAAAGGTTTAAAGATAACGCTAAGTGCTTTTACCAACTAAGTAAAGGTAGACTTTAAACCCCACAACTGGAAATGTTTCTTTTTATCAAATGAATTTTTTTTTTGTAGTCTCAAAAATAGTGCTAAGATGCTCCTTTGTAATCTTTTACTGAGGTCACGCCCGTCTGTGACCTCTTCCTTCTCCTCTCCAGAGGCAGCTCTGCACTTGTGTCTGCTCCTCTGGTATTTACCGCCATGTTCATGGACATACGCTTGGTTTGTCGAACAGTTTGTAGCTTTCTCTGAAAGCAAGTGAGGATTCTAGTCTTAGACATGCGTGTGCTCATCTTTTCTGTGGAGTTAGACATTCATAACTTGTGCTAAATCACATTTCAGAGTTCTCGTTCCTGTGACTGTGGGAGTACTCACTGCTCGGCCAGGTAGTAGAGGACCGGAATTTACTGGTTCACATGGAGTTAAAATTCTTGCCTCGGTTTCTCATGTGCTGTGCTTTGCTTTTTGTTTTTTTTTTCCTCGACTCTAAATCTTTCTGGCGCAGTGGCTAAGCACTCAGCTGCTAACTGAAGGGTCGGCGGTGTGAGCCCAGCAGCCATTAACTCGGGAAGGAGGTGGCCGCCTGCCTCCTGATCTAGGCTGGGTTCTGTGTTATGAGAATTCTATGTGCTGCTAACTCCAGAGAGCCATCACACAGTGAAAGAAAACAGGCTCAGCCAGGCAGGTAACCCCCTTGGAGACCCCCGGGTTTCTGCTTTCTCCTGCAGAGTCTCTGTGAGTCGGAATTGACTCAACAGGACCAGGTTTGGTTTTTGGTTTTCAAACCTGTCCATACGTAACGATGCCAAGGCACAGTTCTCATTACAGTTTGGCATATTGCCAAACCTGTCGGTTAATCTCTGGGTTAGTTTGTTCCTGCGTCTTCTCCTCCTCCAGCCTGGTCTGACCATCCATCCCTGCCAGCTGCACAGCGGTCATCCTGAGATTTGCCCTTGGCACTGTCTCTAGAATCGACTTTGCCTCTCTTGTGTCTGATTCGTATGCCCTAGATCTGATCATTTTCCCTTTCTTGGTCTGCACGCTCACGTGACTGACCATTTCACTGGGTTGAAAATTACTTTCCCTCAGGATTTTTCTTGAAAATTCTGCTGCCGAGGTGACCCACTTCTTTGGCTCCAGCACAGGATAGGCCACATGGGAGGGTATCAGTGGGCACTACGGTCCTTTCCCTCCTAAGGCTTACAGGGTCGCCATCCTTGGGAACTCCCTCTGCTCTTGGGCTTCTCTGTCTGATGGCATTCTGGGGTCGCTGCTCTAGGCTTCTAGTTCTCAGCTACGGCACGGTTTCCACTGTCACCTCTGTCTGCCTGACGTTCTCCCGCTCTGGCCTTGACCTCCTTGCATGCTGCACGGTCTCTGGCCGCAGTTTCTGTGTCATCATCAACGTGCCCAATGATAGTCCTTCCTCCCTTAAAGGTGCTTTGGCCATTGGCACAGATGTCTTCAGGATCTTAACCAGCTATAACCTTGATTCTCAAAACTAATTACCTTGAGTAGGTGTCACCTTGGGCTTTAGGAATGTGAGCATGCTGTGGGGAGGGGGAAACAGATACCAGCCAACAGTGACAGGAGGTTTTTCCTTGAGCATCTCTTGTTCCATGTTCCTCCCGCTGGGCTCTGCTAGTGCTTGGTCTGTGATGTTACCAGGCGAGGCCCTAGAATGCCGGGACCAGCAGAATACACAGATTGCCATCCGGTTGGAGAGAGAAAAAAAGCATGAGTAACAGAGTTATGAGTCCTAACACGGGGGAGAGAAGAAACGGAGATGGGCTTAGCTGAGCACTGTCTGGAAGAAGCAATGCTGTAGCCTGAGGGGCCACCCGTGTGAAGGCTCAGAGGCAAGATGAGGTCTCGGTACCCCTGGAGCTCTCAGTGTGGCACGACTGGCAGGTCTCCAGAGAAAGGAATTTGATTCAGTGATCTGATGTTATCTGGTCTACTTAACTAGACCTTTAATGTTAAGATAAGTGCTGATTGTTAATGTTATAGCTATTAAAGTAATTTGTAGACAGCATTTTGTTTTAAGGTAGTTTGAGAAGTACACATTTATGCTGAACTGTTAGTGTTATATGAGGGTTTTCCTGCTAGTTAGGAAAAGTGTTTAAATGGACCAAGGTTAACTTGTCAGGGCTTCTATGTTCTGTGACAGTGGACCCTCTGTGTGCTGTGGCAGTGTGGACCTGCTGTGTGCTGTGGTAGCGTGGACCCTCTGTGCTGTGGCAGCGTGGACCTGCTGTGTGCTGTGGCAGCGTGGACCTGCTGTGTGCTATAGCAGTGTGGACCCTCTGTGTGCTGTAGCAGCATGGACCCTCTTTGTGCTGTGGCAGTGTGGACCCTCTGCTGTGGTAGCGTGGAGCCTCTGTGCTCTGGCAGCGTGGACCCTCTGTGCTCTGGCAGTGTGGACCCTCTGTGTGCTGTGGCAGCGTGGACCCTCTGTGTGCTGTGGCAGTGTGGACCCTCTGTGTGCTGTGGCAGTGTGGACCCTCTGTGTGCTGTGGTAGCGTGGACCCTCTGTGCTGTGGCAGTGTGGGCCCTCTGTGTGCTGTGGTAGCATGGACCCTCTGTGCTGTGGCAGCGTGGACCCTCTGTGCTGTGGCAGTGTGGACCCTCTGTGTGCTGTGGTAGCGTGGACCCTCTGTGCTGTGACAGTGTG